TATATATATTCTGTTTATGTATATACTGTATTCTATATATAGTACCAGTCAAATGTTTGGACACACGAATGGGAAAGTGTCCAAACTTTTGACTGGTACTGTACTATAATATACAAAGAATATCGTCCGATATATTGGTATCGGCCTTTTGTTACGCCCTAATATCGGTATCGGCCCCAAAAAACCCATATCGGTCGGGCTCTAATACACACACACACACATACATATTCATACATTTTTTTTTAAGTTTTGTAGTCAGTAATATATTTTTTTTAATTTTTTTTTAAAGAAATAAACACTTTTATTCAGCAAAAATTTATCAAAAGTAACAGTAAAGACTTACACAATAGTAAAAATTGTTTTTCAAATAAATACTGTTCTTTGGAACTTCCTATTAATCAAAAATCCTGAAAACATTTATTATGTATTTCAACAGAAATATTAAGCAGCACAAGTTTTTTCAACATCGATAATAATAAAAAATATTTAAGCATTTCTAATTTAGGGGAGATCTTTGAGCTGAAGGCAGAGCTCAACAGTGATAAGAAAGAGAAGAAGAAGGAGGCAGTGAAGAAGGTCATTGCGTCTATGACAGTGGGAAAAGATGTCAGGTAAGACGAGCCATTTTTAACCTTGATGGTTTTTCCACAGTTAAATATGCAGCATTTGTGTGAATGGTTCACTGTTTCATATGCTACTCTGTATATTTCCATTGGGACAGTATGAGTTTATGGAGTTCTGATATTAATATTTTTGTTCCCAGTGCTCTGTTTCCTGATGTTGTGAACTGCATGCAGACGGATAATCTGGAGCTGAAGAAGCTGGTCTATCTGTACTTGATGAATTATGCCAAGAGCCAGCCAGACATGGCCATTATGGCAGTCAACACCTTTGTGAAGGTAGAGTTCAGACATCAGTGAATCGACAAATAGCTTTATTGTAAGACATATATTTTTTATATTTTATCCTACAGTTTGCACAGGCAATAGATACAGATTATTGGATATTCATTTACTCTCCAATGCAAAAAACTGTAATGTATATGGATTATAAAACAAGCTCTGACATTCAGACAGATAAAACCCACGCTCCGGACTGTGAAGTTATTAAAAGGTAAGACATATGCCTGCAACAGCAGAGAAACTCTCATCTCTCTGAGTACTAGAAAAGGAAGTCTTTATAGGATGGTACAGTCTGCATGGCACTTGCTCCATCAGCACTAATGAGTTTTTGCTGGCTTCCCACTAGGGGTCGACCGAAATGTGTTTTTCAAGGCCGATACCGATTATTACAGATCAAGTAGACCGATAACCGATATTTTGAACCGATATATACATGTCTGGTGTAAAAATGAAAATGAATGTCAAAATTAAGAATAACAAGGGCTCTGACAAAAACTGCCTTCCCTGGTGTTGGTTGAGTGTAGTACTCCCACAGTAAACTCTTTATTTTAAAGAGTTAAACTTTTTATTTTTTGGCAAACAAAGGGTTTACCATTAAAATTAAAACATGGAAGAAATAGCGTATTGTGTGATTATTCTTTTAAACAAAAGTTGTAATAATTGTTGTAGTAGTCGGGTTAAAGCAAAAAATATATATTTTGACTGAGAATTTTTCCTCGGCCAAATACCATTCCACAGTCATACCTGTCACACACCCAGTTTAAGAGCAGTGTTTTTCTTGTAATTTAAAAAAATTAAGGCGCACCTTCTGATCAATAATAAAAAATTCTGATAAAAAATTAGCCTTCCTAATATGAAGTGAAGTGATTTACAGGGGCATTTTCTTTTTACTTTTGCAATGGCATCATTTTCATCTGTTAAATAAAAAAATTTGTTTATTAGCTTTTTAAAATTTCTATTTAAAACAATATAATAATAAGTAGAATAAGACAAATAAGTTACCAATCATGAAATTAGTATTAATGAAAAATTCATTTGTACTACAGAGGTGGCACAGAAGAACACAAAAGTGGCTTGTAGGTACATTTTCAGACATTCAACGAGGCTCAGAGGTGGCATGAGTGCAATTATATTCATAAAATCATGTGGAGATTAATGTTTTAAATATAACATTTTTAATACAGAAATACTAAATGATTTAAATCACTGCAATTATACCTAAAAATGAAACTAAAACCGCCAGCAGGTAGAGGCAAATCACGGATTTTATCACTGAATCATTCATTCAATTGGTTTGTTTGAATGGCTAATTCATTCAGGAATGAAGCAAGTGACTGTCTTTATGAATGGGTAATCATGAATCACTGACTCACTAGATTCGTTCAAAAACGCACTTTCATTGATGAATGAAACACCGCTGTGTTTGCTTTTAGAGATGCACAGCGGCTGAGCTGTTACTTTATTTGGAACTATTTTCGTTGATGAAATAGAGCAAAATCGGGCAGTACTAGTTTATTGAACTGTTGTATTAAATCAATATCAAATTTGCAAACTCCTTTAATAATTATTCAAATCTGTCACTCTCCTTATCGCGATCTGTGGGCGCACAGAAAATGAGAGTTCTCAAGACTCAAAAGCACGTGCAAATGATAAGTTCCGTCATCTGTCATCGCGTTATAAGCGCGGAACCTGCTGGAATGAGTGTACAATTGTTATTAATAGCCGCAATCCTGCTCCTGAAATTCAAGACCTGCTCTGTGTTCTCTGCTAATAATCCGACTGTGAATGATGCGAGCGGCGTTATGTTGTCAGTGAGAAGCTGCAGCCGTGGCGGGGAGGATTTTTGGTCTGCCGGCAGAACAACAACAATGTGCTACATGTTTCTTTTCTCCTCATTTTTTCCAATAGACGGAAATCCGTCGTAGCGACGGAAAACTTTCATCCTTGAGTTGTATTATGTACATCACTGCACCACAGTAATATATTTCTGATAATTTCTTTAAGCTAACCCGATCTTATATTTTGACGGGTTGCCATGAGGAACTTGTTTCTGTAGGTCTATGTAAATGATATGAAGATAGTTTTACTCCAATGAAACTGTCAAATGCTCATGAAGGGAGGAGTCAGAGCAGTTCTGGAGCTGTTGTTCATGTATTTATGTCCTCATGTAGTGATACGACAGAAGCTGAAATCACCGCGAGCGTTGCACACTTTGTATGTGTAGAAAACAACACCGCGCATCTGTGCCATTTACATACACAGAGACATGCAGAACATGCTGGATTAATATTTAAATAGTATTTTGCGGCTTAATATTTACAGATACTAGTCCATATCGTGACTCTATTTCAGTGTACTGACCTACTTTTGATTAATTCATCCAAACTTTGACAAATTTCGTGACATTCCGCGTCATACAGTAAATTCCATGACTGGATTCCGTCTGCGTTTTCTGCATCGCGGAAATCATAGATAATATTGAGGTGTTTTGCAACTTCAGTGTAACGTTGGTGGATTGGGATCTATTGCAACTTAAGCAACGTCTGCTGCTGCCTTACCTTTGAGAGACAACTGAGCAGCTCAATGATCAATGAAGCAGCTCCAGTTAGCAAGCGCTTTTGGAGTGAGAGTGAATTCCGCATTGATTGGTCTGACTCGTGACTCCCAACAAATCAGATGGGCGGTGGGCAGAGACTGCTTTAGGCCACAGAGTGGTGAGTTCTGACAGGCTGCATCAGAGCCAAATAGCGCGTTTCAAAATTAAGTTATTTTATCGGTGAATTGGTTTTGAAAATGACCGATACCGATAATCATAAAAAGGCTTAATATCGGCTTCGGTAATCGGCCAGGCCGATAATCGGTCGACCCCTACTTCCCACACACCTGAGAATAGAACGAGAGACACATTATGAATGCCTAAAGATGAAGACTAAAGTGATAGGGCTTTTTCGATAACCGGATCTCGGTTATGGAATAACTTACTGCTAGCCATCATCCGCTCTGCCCCCTCTCTGATTGCTTGTAAAATGGCTTTGAGGAAGCACTTTTATATCTTGGCTTTTAAGTCTGATTTAAGAGAGACCTAAATATCAGTGTTTTTTTATGATGCTGTGTTTTGCTATTGACTTTTGATTGGTTTTCTTGACTTTAGTGGTGCTGCAAACAGCAAAGCTGTTAGTTTTCTCAGTTGACTTTTTTCATTGCTAGTTTTTAAAATATGCAATTTTTCAGTAGAAAGTATCTTTCAAGTAATGGAGTAGCATTTTTTTTCATAGTGGAGACTTTCCATTGACTTTCATTGTTCTTTTTCTGTGCAAATTATATTTTCACAGACATTATTTAACATTATTTAATATGTTTTTGCACAGTGTAACTAAAACCTGATTTATGAAAATATGTAGTAGCATTTTTGCAACTTAGCTTAGCTAGTTTTTCTGTAAAGTAGTTGATAGCTTGGCATATGTTTATGTACATTCAACAAACTTGAACGCACACATATAAATAAGCTAATAAATAAATCGATCAAAAGATGCATTAAATTGATCAAAAGTGGCAGTAAAAACATTCATAATGTTACACAAAATCTTTCTATTTAAAAAAAAAAATGCTGTTTGGAACCATCACACAATCCTGCAGTAAATATATATGTGAATGTGTATATGTGAATGTATTTTCACAAAAATATTAAATGGTACAAGTTTTCAACAATTATAATAGGACATTTTTCTTTCCAAAACATTTTTAAAACTCTTACTGACCCCAAACTTTTGAAAATGTCTGTATTTTAGGGCTAATGTGTGTTGATATGTTCTTTCCTGCAGGACTGTGAGGATCCAAACCCTCTGATCCGTGCACTGGCTGTGCGCACCATGGGCTGCATCCGAGTGGACAAGATCACTGAGTACCTGTGTGAACCTCTAAGGAAGTGTCTGAAAGACGAAGACCCTTACGTAAGGAAGACTGCTGCAGTTTGTGTCGCCAAGCTGCATGACATTAACGCCCAGCTGGTCGAGGACCAGGGCTTCCTGGACACCCTGAAAGACCTGATCTCCGACTCCAACCCCATGGTAGGGCATCATAACCCAACTAGCCAAATAAGATAAAACATGTGAAAGGAATATAAAATCTAAGTCCTGGTTAGATGCTGGCAATATTCTAAAGAATAATCTCTGAACTTGGATAAATATCCCTGAGTGCATTTTGTTCTCACACTAATTCACTTGCACATGCACTTATATTTGTTTTAAGGGCATCCGTGGGCTTACTAGTGCCATTTAGCTCTCTCTTAGTCTCCATGGTGTGTAATTACATGCTATTGTTGTGCGAAACTCGAGACCATTCACACACAATACCACTGTATTGAGTTTAACGCTTCTTTTTTTCCCCCTCCATTAGGTGGTAGCAAATGCAGTAGCGGCTCTGTCCGAGATAGCAGAGTCTCATCCTAACAGCAACCTTCTGGACCTGAACCCTCAGACAATTAATAAGCTCCTGACAGCCCTTAATGAATGCACCGAGTGGGGCCAGATCTTCATCCTCGACTGCCTGGCCAACTACATGCCCCGTGACGATCGCGAGTCACAGAGGTCAGAGGGCAATGTTATTTCATCACTCCTGTGGGGTGCACTCTAAATGGTTTCTCTGATGAAGTCTACATAATACATAGACACTAGCTTCACTAATAAAGCTAATCTAGTGTTGGACTTACTGTTTACATTGATTACTTGAACTGAGTTTAATTAAATCAGAGTTGGCTTTGAATCACTGTTGATTCAGTTAGGGATTTTAAGAAACAATATAGGATTGTTCAAATGTAGATTGACTAATTCAGCCAATGTCACACTACACAGCCTGTCTTTGACCTTAAAGATTTTTTTCCTCTGCCTTGTTGAAGCATGTTTCTCTCTCTCCTCCCACAGTATCTGTGAGCGTGTAACTCCACGGCTGTCCCACGCTAACTCTGCAGTGGTTCTGTCTGCCGTGAAGGTTCTGATGAAGTTCATGGAGATGCTTCCTAAAGATCTAGACTATTACGGCACTCTTCTGAAGAAACTTGCTCCTCCGTTGGTCACGCTGCTCTCAGCTGAAGCTGAACTGCAGTATGTTGCCCTGAGAAACATTAACCTCATCGTACAGAAACGGTAGGTGCAGAGCTAAGGTAAATAAATTTGTTTATATTAAGTGATGATGGTTTGGTTTTCTCAAAAATTAATGCACAAATATATTTTTTTTAACTTTAATTATAATATTTTTTACTTTTCATTTTTATACTGTGTTTTTACCAGCCCCGAAATTCTGAAGCATGAGATGAAGGTTTTCTTTGTGAAATATAATGACCCAATCTATGTCAAGCTGGAGAAGCTGGATATCATGATCCGCCTGGCGTCTCAGGCCAACATTGCTCAGGTGAATGAAACGCCACATATACAACTACACTTCACTAATGTGAAACATGATCTCTGCATGATCATTTATGTTCTTACATTTTTCTGTTTCACTACCCAGAATACAGTGGGGTCCAAAAGTCTGAGAATACTAGTGAAAATACATCTGTGTTAATAACAAATCAGCATGAATTTGAGAATGTCTGAGTATTTGGTTTGTTCTTCTTTTGCATTAATGACAGCAGCAAAATATATTTATGGTCTGCCTAATTTTTAATGTCATGAGACAATGTTTCTTATCATGACAAATTTAAATCAAGTATAAGTCATTCTTTTTAGAGGTCATACCTAAAATTTGTTTAGCTTTTCTTCTTCTTTTTTTTAGCATTTTCATTGTTATTTAATTGTTTGTATTTATTGAATGTTTAATCAGTGTCTGTGTTATATTAACATCACTCACTTTTGGACCCCACTGTGTATCACATTAACATTTGTCATGTATGCTTATGAGAGTCTGTGCTAAATTTCTGTGTGTTTGGGTGGTGTAGGTGCTGGCTGAGCTGAAGGAATATGCCACTGAAGTGGACGTGGACTTTGTGCGTAAAGCTGTACGAGCCATTGGCCGCTGTGCAATTAAAGTAGAGGTGAGCTGGCCTGACCTTGATTAGGATAACATTATTATTAACACTGGCAGTCTGATGAGTGTTCATTTTAATTGTAAAGTTCACCGCTCCTAATGAAATGGTTCAACCTGATGTGAAACAATAGCCAACTGCTTATTTGGTTAACTGATTTCTGGATGATGCCATTTATCCTTAAGCAGATCAGCTGATCTCTCTTTCTGTATCTCCTCTCTCTGTTACAGCAATCAGCAGAGCGTTGTGTCAGCACACTGCTTGACCTCATTCAGACCAAGGTCAATTATGTGGTGCAGGAAGCCATTGTGGTCATCAAGGACATCTTCCGCAAGTACCCCAACAAGTAGGTTTCTCTGTGCGTGTTGTACAATTTCCCCTGTCTCTGACCTCTTTGTCACTAAAGCTGTTTCTCTCTTTCTCTCTCTAAACTGCATCCTATTTCTGTTTGGCTAAGGTTCATTATCCAGATGTTAGAGGTTCATTGTCCTGACACAGCCTCTGTTCAGCCATGCCTTTCATATAAAATGTGTTGAAGAAGAATTCAATAAAGATTCACTGAACCCAGCCTACCCTCACTATGCCATTTTGCTGCTTCACTGTTGTTTTTTTTCTTGAATGTATTGTCAGGTATGAGAGCGTGATTGCCACTCTGTGTGAAAACCTGGACTCTCTTGATGAGCCCGAGGCACGCGCAGCCATGATCTGGATTGTGGGAGAGTACGCAGAGAGGATCGACAATGCAGATGAGCTGCTGGAGAGCTTCCTGGAAGGCTTCCATGATGAGAGCACACAGGTGAAGTGCCATTCAAATTGCTTTATTAAAACCCTCTTTGTGAAATAAGTAATGCTGTATTAAGCAGACTTGCTTTATGCATGCAGTGTATTAAGTTGCTTCCATGTGCATAAAGAAAAACTATAACTGTGTAATAGGATGACTTTTTGCTGTGATATCAAAATTGGTCTCTTTCACTGGTAGTGGTAATGACTACTGAAATTTTGGTATTAATTAATTCATTGCAATAATACCATACTACCCTAGTGAATAATGGAATAAACTTACATGAACTTGTCTCTTGGAAAATCATGTTACAGGATTTGTCCCTGTGTTAATGTTTTTTTCACGCTTCTCTTTCAGGTGCAACTGCAGTTGCTGACAGCTATTGTGAAGTTGTTCCTGAAGAAACCCACTGAGACCCAGGAGCTGGTGCAACAAGTACTCAGTCTCGCCACACAGGTGAGATATCCACACGGACATATCAATAGGGTGACCATATGTGCCATTTTCCCAGGACGGGTCCTGGCCAGGATTTCTATATTGCCTAAAATATCTAGGTTTTGGCTTTGTTTGCGTGTGCAGACCGATCGGTGTATGACATAAAAATACCTCGAGAGCATTTTGAAAGCATAAGGAACCGTCTGTATGGTATTTTGATGTCATACATCGATCGGTCTGCACACGCAAACAAAGCCAAAACCTAGATATTTTAGGCAATATAGAAATCCTGGCCAGGACCCGTCCTGGGAAAATGGCACATATGGTCACCCTACATATCAAGTACACGGGAGTATCAAAGCACACGTTTCAGTGAGAAAATGACACTGCACCTATACTTGCTCAAACCTTCAAGGGCACTCTCTGGAGGTGTTGCCATCCTCAAATGGCAGATCTCTACCCTAATATGCTTATTCTTTCTTGCAAAATGCTGTAATTGCTTTTTGTAACTGCAGGCAGACAATAAGAGGATAAACAAACCACAAAATGGAAGACTTCTAATTAGTAAAAATGTCTCAAATGAATGTCAAGTGAACAGGAAGCAAAAGATGATTATAAAAGCATCAGGAGTTAGAGGGATTAGTGTCCTGCTCCTGTGAGCCTATTAGACTACATGACCTGCTCCGTTTTAATATATTATATATGTACATATTTGTGTCTTAATGCAATGTAAATAGTAAAGCATTCTGATGGTCCCCAACAATTTGGGTTAGAGCTTGTGGGCCAGAGTTTTGAAACCGTGCACACCAAGCAAGCACGATTGAGCTTATGTTTATCATATTTGATGTGTTCTATGTAGGGGTGCTGCTCGGTATGTGAATTATGTGTAAATAAAAGCCTAATTAAAATATATTCATCATATAAAGGAGGGTGGTGATGACGATGATTAATCCATTTCAATCACTCCATTTTAAAGCGGTCATATGATGCAATTTCAAGTTTTCCTTTCTCTTTGGAGTGTTACAAGCTGTTCGTGAATAGATAAGATCCATAAAGTTGCAAAGACTAAAGTCTCAAACCCAAAGAGATATTCTTTATAAAAGGTAAGACTCGTCCGCGCCTTCCTAAAACGCCTCGTTCAAACACGCCCCCACATGTCTACGCCATGATGTGGGAAGATTTGCATAACACCGCCCAAATGTTCACGCAAAGAAAGAAGGCGTAACTTTATTGTTGCTGCCACCGCCGCCGCCATGTTGTGAAGATGCTGTGTGTTTCGTGCCGAAAGTGAAAATACTTTGTTAGGCCTTCCAAAAGAGGACACGACTAGAAATCAGTGGTTAAGTTGTATTTGCAACACTTTTCCAGAACAATTCAACCCAAATATTCAGATGTGTGCAGCGCATTTTATGGGGGACTGTTTCCTGATCCTAGAAGAGTAGACTACAATGCCGGCTGTTCTGACTCAGTCTGTAATTATGTTTTCATATTTAAAGAATTTGCCACTGATGGTTCAAACGCGAGTTTTGTGCAGTGTAGAGTAGCGCTTGTTGTTTGTAATTTCTCAGATCACAAATGCAGACATGGTTTTATGTTTACGCGATGCGATGCAACGCAATCACAGTATAAGTCATTATAATCCATAGTTATGTCCCCACTGGATGCAACAAATGGCTCGTTTATAATGGGTTTTTAATGTTTTTGTCTCGTTGCTCCGGGAGAAGGCATCACAGTATGGTAGGGGCGTAACATTTCCGTCACACGCTTGAGGTATTCGGCCAATCACAGCACACTTCGCTTTTCAGACCGTTGAGCTTTGTAAAAATCAATGCGTTTCAGAAAGGCGGGGCATAGAGGAGAAACAATAATGTACAGTATGTGGAAAATAATGCGTTTTTTAAAACTTAAACACATTTCATTACACCAAATACACCAAATAATATTATTTTTTAGCAACATCGTATGACCCCTTTAATGAAGCAATATCAGTACTTAAATTCCAAAATTTCCAAAGATCTTTTAGTTCATGCTGTTATCTTTTGATGTGTGAACAAAGCTTCACTAAACATCGTTTTGTAATGCAACTCCGTCCAATAACTGCAATGAGCCTTGTGCTTTGTTACTTTTAATAATAAAGTATCAGCTTTCAAATTTTGTAAGTTTTATCACAAAATCCAAACAATGAATACTGATTTGATGCTCTTTAATGTGGCTTGACAGATCACTGTAGCCGCCTTAGTTCAAGTGGCAGCATTGAGCGCACGTGAACCGATCTCTTCCTCTCTCCTACTAGTTATAGCATGAAATAAACATTAACATACATGAACATCAGATGTTGAAAGAAAGAATACAGCTTACAGAAATATAAATGTAATAATTAAATGTCTTATGTAATAATTCATTCAGTGTTTCAACTGCAGAAAGATGTCAATAAACAACTTGAAAACAATGTCACATAATGTTGCATTTAAATCAGGAAAGCCATTCAATGTCCATAGCGCGACTGTCCACTAGAAAAAAATACTTAACCTGTTAGTGATGTCTCATTTATTGTATGTTTGAATAAATCTAAAGCCACAGTTACAATGATTATATTTCAGCAACGAATTGGAGTAGAAACATAATTATAGGCCATTTCATTAAAAGGTTGATATAAAAACTACCTTATGTGTAAAAACTTTTTATTTGAGTATTTATTATTATATCTAAAAATAAATAGCCATATAATTTGGAATCTGTTATTGATTTAGATCTTTATTTTTATAGTAATGTACCAACTGACAGGATTCCCTGTATAGTTTACAGCATTAGAGATTTTCCTTTGTAAAAACTGACATGCATTGTACCTCATATATATCCCAGTCTAAACTTAATCAAATCAAGAGCTTGTGAATCAGATTTAAATTGATTCGTGAAATCTTTGTCAATACTCAGTTTTAATGCAAAGCAATCATTCATGTCTCTTCAGTAGATTTGGATTAAACCACTTAATTAATATGATTTACATTTACTTGTTTTTATGTACCTTTGGAAACTTGAAAATGTTGATGACAGACTAGTTTAATGTTTGTGTGTATCGGCTAGGGAGCATGTATGTGTCTGTGTTAATATTCATTAACATTCAGAGAAGCCGTGAGCTTGTGCTGTCAGACTGGGATCGGAGATTGAATCTTGTCATTATTAACTTTGAGGTTCAGTGCCACAGGCTGTATTCGCCGCCAGGGTTCTGTCAGAATACCAAATGTCCTCCTTTATCCCAGGTGCTGTTTTATGGCCTCAAGATCTAATTCTCTTACCGCTGTTTTGCTCTGGGTGGTGCTGGCATACCACTTGATCTTATCACACAGATGAATTGGTGCTCAGAAGGAGTTTTGCATTATTTACACAAGACCCTGTCCTTCAGATGAGGTTTTGTGGAAAGAACCAGTCACCTCATTTTCTCTTTCTTCCTCCAAGATGATATACTCTCATATCATAAACAGTGTATGAATCCCTTAGGTTCTCTATTGGGTTCTCACTTTCCCTGTATTTTGCTCTCTTTAACTTTGTAGGACTCTGATAATCCTGACTTGCGTGACCGTGGCTACATCTACTGGCGCCTGCTCTCCACAGACCCTGTGGCGGCAAAAGAGGTTGTGCTGGCCGAGAAGCCTCTGATATCAGAGGAGACGGACCTGATTGAGCCCACCCTGCTGGAGGAGCTTATCTGCCACATTGGTACTCTGGCCTCAGTCTACCACAAACCTCCCAGTGCTTTTGTGGAGGGCAGCCGTGGCGTTCAGCACAAGAGACTTCCTGCTCGTGCTGGCTCGTGAGTCTCTGTTTATATTCTTTTCTTATATTACTTTATGTATAGAGTAGCAGAAATAAAGATTTGTTTAAATAAAAAAATATATTATTATAGTTAATAATATATTTATAGTTAAATTATTATTTTACATTTACCTTATATATGTATAATATATGTGTATGTATGTGTGTATATGTGTGTGTGTGTGTGTGTATATACAGTGGGTACAGAAAGTATTCAGACTCCCTTAAATTTTTCACTCTTTGTTATATTGCAGCCATTTGCTAAAATCATTTAAGTAAATTTTTTTTCCTCATTAATGTACACACAGCACACCATATTGACAGAAAAACACAGAATTGTTGACATTTTTGCAGATTTATTAAAAAAGAAAAACTGAAATATCACATGGTCCTAAGTATTCAGACCCTTTGCTGTGACACTCATATATTTAACTCAGGTGCTGTCCATTTCTTCTGATCATCCTTGAGATGGTTCTACACCTTCATTTGAGTCCAGCTGTGTTTGACTATACTGATTGGACTTGATTAGGAAAGCCACAAACCTGTCTATATAAG